CTTCCCAAGCGGCGCACTATAGCAGTGCGCCACCGGGCCGGCCCCTATACACATAGGCTGAAGGTAATTTTATACAGCATTTTAAATAATTTTGTGCATGAAACAAAGTTTGTGTGCACTGAACCATCAGAAAGTAGAGGTGTCACTATCAGCCACCCATGTGGACAATCTGGTTGGTTGGCATCACCGTTATTCCTGACGTTGGATTTATATGCTACCAATAAGCAGTCATTTTCTTATACTTATCCACACAGAAGTAATTAACAGTAAAAAATACGACACACCGTGAATGCAGCGAAACAGTAATGTGTTCAGGGTAACTAAGCAACACAGTTAAACCACAGCAACAACAGATCTCAGCAGGTGTTCCGTCTCTACCTACGATGCTCTGTTTTGATAAACGGTTACTGTATACGTATTTTATTTTTTTAGGTGAGAAGAAACATCAGAAGCAGTTGAGGGACCAGGAAGTGGGTCCTCTAGGGAAGAAGAGGCATTCTGCTGGAAGGTTTTTAAAATGTTTCCTCCAGAGTCATCTGCATCATTAACAGCAGCGTTTGTCTTAGATGTCTCTCTTTGATTTTATAAACTAACATGTTTATAAAATCTTGTTCTGTTGTGAATGCATGGTGCTGTAGTCTTTCAATAAGCCTGTCACACATTTTCACCATGTTGTCACTTTTCCTGCAGTGACAGGACAACTATCCCTTATGCTAAATGCTTAGGACCATAGGGTGGAATTTTTCACTTGTGGGGTCATGTCGATGCTCAAAAAGTTTTGGATTTTGGAGCATTTTTGTTTTCAGATTTTCAGAATAGGGATGCTCGACCTGTGTTTCATCCCATTAGAATGCACACTCCATGAGGTCAGGAATTTTTATACGCTTTATGCTCTGCACTTTCCCCAGAACCTACAACAGTGTTTATCATAGCGTTGTCCCTTAACAAGTATTTCTTGAGTGAATAGATAGAGAAGCATGAATCTGTTACTGGTGTCTTTGTTCTAACCGGCCAGCCCCTGTTTTAATATATTTATAATAGGTTTTGTTGTCTCCTAAGGTTATGTTTTCCTCTTTTATTTTATTTTAGTTATCTTGGCTCTTCTTCTCCCTTACCCTTTTTCATTAATTTTAATATGAAAAATCCTTTTGGAATTTCTATTGTACTTGCATTGAATTTACAGGTTAATTTGAAGAAAATTGCCATCTTTACAATATTGATTCTTTTAATGACTAATCAATTAACATGATACATGTCTTCATTTATTTAGGTCTTATTAAAAAGTAAATTTTCTTTACACATCTATTGTTAGCATTATTTCTGTCTAACAAATGTTGATATTTTGAGTGGTATTCTATGCAAATTATATCTCCTAATGATTGCTGCCGGTATACGAGAAAGCTGTTGATTTTTGTATAGTCTTGTGTGCACAGCCTTGCTAAAACTCTCTCATTTGTTCTATTTGTCCTTAAACTTGAAGTTTCTATGGAGCTAATCTTATAGTCAAAAGATAATGATAATTTGAGCCTTGCTAAACTCTCTCATTTGTTCTATTTGTTTGTCCTTAAACTTGAAGTTTCTATGGAGCTAATCTTATAGTCAAAAGATAATGATAATTTTTCTTCCTGTCCAATTCTTATAAACTGTTCTTCTTTTCCTTGTTTTCTTGTGTTTGCTGGACCCTCCGTTCCATGTAGGACAGGAGTAATGATAAGTGGTGTCTTTCCCTTCCTCCTGGCTTTAAAAGGAATGGTGTTTGCTATAGGGATTTAGTATGCCCTTTATCGGGTAGGAAATTTTTTTCCCCTTTACCGTGAATGGCTGTTGTCTTAGTCTGCCTGGGCTGCCAGAACAAAATACCACAGCCTGTATGGCTCAAACAACAGGGATTTATTTTCTTATAATTCTGGAAGCTAGAAATCCAAGATCAAGCTTCTGGCTAATGTGGTTTCTTGTAAAGGGCTCTCTTTCTGGCTTGTAGATGGCCACCTTTTTTTGGTGCGTGTGTGTGTGCACAGAGGTGGGGAGAGAGAGAACATGGGAGAGCTAGGAGCTCTCTGGTGTCTCATCTTATAAGGACATTAATCCCCTCAAGGCCACACCCTTATGATCTCATTTAACCTTAATTACCTCCTAAAGGCCCTATCTCCAAATATAGCCACAGTGGAGGTTAGGGCTTCAACCTGTGAATTTTGGGGAATATAACACATTCTGCCCATAACAGTTGTCACATTTTATCAATGCTTTTTCTGCATCTGTTGGGATGATGACACGGACTTACTCTTTTAATTTGTTAAAATATTGGGTTACATCATAAAATGTCTAACAGTAAACTATCTTTGCATTCCTGATACAGTCATGATATAGACATTTAAAAATACATTGCAAGATTTAGTGTGCTAATATTTTATTTAGGATTTTTGTATCTAAATTCATAAGTAAGGGCGTTATACAATTTTTCATTCTCATCTTGTCTTTGTTCAGTTTTCATTTCCAAGATATAGCCAGATTTTATTTGCTCCAAGTTGACATTGACTCCTGATTTTTTTTCTTTTGATTGGTGAATATTTCTGGGGTTAGGTCTCCCACCCCAACTTTCTATTATGAAAAATTTTCAAATACAGAAAAATGGAAAGAATAGTACAACAAACTGTTTGCCATCTTGCTTGATGTATCTGTATGTGTGTCATGTGATGTGTGTTTATGAACCATTTAAGGGCAAATTATGGATGTTATGACACTTCATCTCCCAGTATTTGAGCACATATTGTCTAAAAATAGGAGCACTACATAATCACATTATCACACCTTAATCATACCTTATAAAATTAATGATAATTCACAGTATCAACTGTCATCCATTTTCACTTCCCCAGTTGTCCCCCAGATGTCTCCTATAGCTCTTCTTAATTTTGGACCAGGATCTAGGTAAGGTTCACATGGTGCAATTGGGTTTTTTTCTCTTTAATTTCTTTCTTTTTTTTTTTGTCCTTTTTTGAGACCGGCCGCACTGTGCTCAGCCAGTGAGCGCACCAGTCATCCCTATATAGGATCCGAACCCGCGGCGGGAGCACTGCTGCGCACCCAAGCGCTGCACTCTCCCGAGTGCGCCATGGGCTCGGCCCTCTTTAATTTCTTTTAATCTAGAGAGTCTCACTACCTGTTATCCTTTTACCATTGATTTTTGAAGTTAGGCATATAAAATAGTTGGGAAACATTCCCTGTCTTTTTATATTTTACTAATTTATCAATTTTGTCTGTTTTCTAATTTATTAGCATAAAGTTGTTCATACTGCTTTCTTTTGATTTTTAAAGAGAAAACCTTTAACTATGTCACTTTTTCATTCCAGATATTGTTTTATTTGTGTGTGTTTATAATTCTTTCCTGTTTATTGATCAGTTTTGCTGGAGATGTGTCTATTTTGTAACTCTTCAAGGAATTCGATTTTAATCGTTTTGGATTTTCTCTATTGTTTATTTTCGTCTCATTATTTTCTCTTTGTAGGTTCTGCTGTGCTCTGAGTGTTGTGTTCCTCCAAATCCATATGTTGAAATCCTAACCCCCAAGATGATGGTATTGGGAGGTGGAGGCCTTTGGGAGGTGATTAGGTCATGAGGGCAGAGCCCTTATGATTGGGACTAGTGCCCTCATGAGAGACTCCAGAGAGCTGGCTAGTCCCTTCCACTGTAAACTTCATGTCAATTTACTTACTGTTTGTAATCTTTAGATTTGCACCACTCAGAATATAATGTGTGTTTCTCTCCCTGTAGCTCAACTTAAATATCTCCAATGGCTAATGAAGCTCATCCCTGTCCCTGCGACATTGGCCATAGGCTTGACTATGGAGGGATGGGACGTGAAGTTCAGGTCGAGCACATAAAGGCATATGTCACCAAATCCCCCGTCGACACAGGCAAAGCTGTGATTGTCATTCAAGATATATTCGGCTGGCAATTGCCTAATACCAGGTATATGGCTGACATGATCGCTGGAAATGGATACACGTACGTATAAAATTCTGTTCCTTGGCTTAAATTCATGTAAATGTCTGTGGTCCCTTCAGAAAGAAAACAAACAAAACGTGACTATACTCTAATTTTCATGATCTACTTCCTTATCTCACTGTGGTGAAGGTAAATGGGAAATGTCATATGGAATTAAACACCCACGTGGTGG